GCATATGCAATTTCCGGAAGAACATCATTGATATTTTGTACACCAAGGGAGAGGGCATACATGCCAACTGCTCCGGGAAGACTAGAGTAGAGATTAGCTGCGCCGTTCGTTTTGTCTTGCCTCGAATAATGCATGGAAGATAGAATAACGTCAAGAGCTCACCTCCATATATGGAAAGCAAATACAGCTGGAATGAAGCCTGCGTGCAATAAAGTCAAGCAGAAAAGCATCTTCGTGCTTCCAGGGCCGGGAAGAGCTTGACAGATGGCAAATAGTTCTTGGTACTACAATGTCATTCCGATCAGCCTATCGTACCGATCTTCGCTGGATTGAGGACTGACTGTTTGCTCATCCGCCCATTTCTCCTGTCCTCCTTTGCCCTCGACAAACTTTTCGTGAAAGATCTGAAAATGGACCGGCGGTCCTCCAAAAGCTGTAAATCCCAGATGCCATGTTCGTAGGAACACATCGCTCAATCGGCTAGAAAGACCTTTTTTACGTTGCTCAGAAGCCGCCCTCTCTTGTACGGGCTGGTTCAGGGCGCGGAGCGAAGAAAGGTAGCGGGAGAATGGCGGCGGCAGCTGCATCCTTGTTCTTCGCTGGTTCCAAACCAGCGACGTGTTGAGTATTCAGGGTAATGGAGCATAGACAGAAAGACTGATATCGCGGCAGTCTCTCCTCCTTTTAACAATCAATTCACAGGCCATATTTACCCCATATGATGTGACGCTTGGCAGCTGAGAAAACTGGCCATTCATAAGAGAGGAATCTGTCACGTCGCTTGGCAAAAGTGCCAAAATACCTGAACCAGAAAATGTGTAAACTCTAATTTAAGCTCTTTTTTCTCTGACTGTTTGTGTAGCATTTGACTGTGACACCAGGCTAAGATATTTGCGCATCTTTAATGTTCTGCAATGCACTATGCGCCATTCTGTTAACTCAATATTAGTCATGAATAGTCTTCTGCTGTATTCTACAGCTCTTATCAGACATGCTCACCTGTGGTTATCTGGATGATGCAGGAAGTTTCGAAGGGAGACCTATGTGGAATGGACCATGTCCAACCCGATTGTCAGCGCGCCAGTTGCTCAGCTCCAGATATAGTCTCCAAGCCCCCAGAAAGTCGGGCATCAGTTTTTACAGCAAAGTTGGATGGGAAAAACTTGTGCTCCCGTGCTCAAGAGTAAGCACAATAGGCAATTGAACTAGTTGGACTGATCCGTCCTCGGATGGCCCAGGCAGTATCTTTCTTCACAATTTCTTTGCTCTAAGCATGTTGATACGGACGCCTGGAATACTGAAACTCTTGAGCAGAGAACAAAGTACCTGAGCTTGTTCATTTCTGCTGGGTCTGATCAAGCTTCTGCGCCACCTCCTGCTATAGAAGGCTTATATGTCAACACTCAGAGTTCGACGCATCCCACAAGATGATATCTGCACAACAGTACCAGGTTTGCAGTAATGAAGATGTGGCAAGTAAGGGACACTATCACTGCAACCTTCGTTGGACGAGACACTGTGATTTCCAAATGCTCCGACGAAAGGAGCTCGGTGTAGAACATTCAATATCGGTTGTTGTGCATACATATTGACGCAAACGGCCTCAAGTACATCTATTGTGAAAGGTAAAGTCAGCTCTGTTCTTTCGATGCATCGTGTATAAAACCCGTTTGTCTCTTTGAGAGGGGGCATCCAAGCAGAACCAAATAGAACCGGAGAAGCCAGAGAATGAGTGACGGGGATAGGAGGCAATACGGTGCAAGATTGCATACTCTGAGTCTTCAGAACCTGTTGGTCACCCAGATTGCAGCATGATAAGTCTACCATACCTTGAAGGTTGCATGACCATACAGTGTCCTGCATCTAAAATGGCTATGTTGTGCAGTAATATGCTTACATAGGAGAGGAAGACAGTTTCAGAAGAGGAAGATTCCAGCGGAAGAGATGAAAAAGCTGTGCGGATTAACCTACTGGCTCAGGCACCCTCGAGGCATGACGCAGGATGTAGAGCTTCTGGCTGGGACCAGGATGCAGCGAGCACATGCGCGACCCCCAACATCCATTTCTCATCACCAACAACCACTTTGTTCCCACACCTGCTCCTATCTCCCTCCACTCAGTCGGCGCGTCTTGCCGTCTTTCAATCACAATGGGAGGTCGTCTGGATTTACCTACAGAAATTCTCCTCTTCATCATCGAATTCTTCGAGTCAGCCGAACACTGGCCAGTCCTTCTCTCCCTCTGCCTCACGTCCCGTCATCTCTACGCGCTGGCTCAGCCGATACTTTTCAAAACATACCTGAATGGACTTCATTGTCATTGTTGTCACAAGACCAGCGGCAGCAGAGATGGTCTGTGTTCTCTACTAGGCTTCACTCGAACTCTTCTTTCTCGACCCGATCTTGGATCATGCGTCCGTCAGATAATCATAGACACCTCGACCTGGGAATCCCGGGAGCCCGAAAGATGGTCGAAAACACTCACACCAGAGACCATAGCTCTACTAGCTGATGCGATTCAAGGTCTTCGCGTGAACAACAAGGCGGTATTTCTCTCATCTATAGTGAGGGCAAAAGTGACTCCTTTGATTGTACTACTGTGCACTCGCACACCGAACCTTGAACATCTTGATATGACGCTAGGAGAAAAAGACTTGAAGGATCTGAGATCTTTGTATATGCCTTCGATGCAAAAGGATTTAGTTTCTCCGTATCTGTCTAAATTGAGGAGCCTGGATATTGGAGGAAGCCAGGGGCAGATGAATATCGTTCAGGCAGACACTTTATCCTTCTTCTTGAGTTCGTCGCGCCTTGAACATTTGTCCCTTTCCCTCCTTGATGTACGGGGCGCTGGTGATTCAGGCTTCATGCCCCCGTTGCAATCCCTCAACATTGCTTCAGTCTCTCTCACTTGGACTTGTTTAAATACGAACCTTCTGACAACTCTCATCTACGCATGCAAGGGTCTCAAAACATTGATCTACGAGATTGATTCTGATACTCAAAATCTTGTTGAACCTCCAGAACTCGCTGCCATCCTCAATTCACAGAGGGAAACCCTTGAATTTATCATTGTTGATCTTAAATTATACCATTGGGCGCTACGCTGGGACGATTATCCGAAGATTGAGTCATTCGCCTTTTTTACAAGTCTCCAGCACCTAGAGGTCGAACAGTGCTTCTTGACCGACAACCCAGAATTGCCCGACTCACTGAAACATCTGGTCATTCGTGCCTGTGAACACCCTGTGGCAAGATTGTTGACAAATTTGACAAGACGCAGCTTCGACAGCCTAGATTCTCTCGAGTTGGTCGTCTTACAGCCTCTGTCATCACCGCCGAATGGAATGTTCGGTCTCTCGGAAAGATTTGATAGCGATGAAGATGTACATGCAAACATCCTGTATCGGTCCGCATTCAGAAGAGCCTGCAGGCAACTAAGGAAAATAGTTCGCGAGGCATACTTCGACTTTAATGTAAGGTGCGAAGAATGGGCTTTATATGAGGAAGGACTTCTCTGAGCTCCGCGGATCTGGGATCGATGAGCCTTACGATTGAAACAAAAGGAAGTCACGAGGGCAAATTGTACTTTGCAAAAATCGTCAAAGCACTGCAAAGATATTGCAGGTTGTTGATTTTGTTTGTGCTTTTGCGTGGGAATTCAGTGTTGACATTTGCTTTGTAAGTTGTCTAAGCAGACTGAACTGGCCTTAGGACGGGAAGGGAATCTCATCCCATATACACTGGTGCCTCTATTAAAGACTTATACAAAAGCACTGTAGAATGCGTCCTTCAATGAAATTGATAAGCTTAATGATGTCCCTCTCGAAGGATACTTTCGAAAATATGTTCATATGCGGTGTGCGGGTTCCGCGGGGTCCGACGAAGAATTTGCCCGACTCCAGCATGTGTTCCTGAATCAAAAATTATCACCAAGGGTCATATTTATGATTCATCATTCTGGATCTTTTGATTCCGAACGTCGCAGCCTTAGCGCTGAGACCTGAGAATCGAGCCCTGATTTCAACGGGACAGTGGGGACAGCGCGTGCGGCGAGTTCCACGCCAACCTGAACCGCGTTCCAAGATATGGCCTCTCTCATCTTGGCTGCCTTTTTGGTAGCCACTGTTATCCACATTGTTACCTTACTTTTCCTCTGTATAACAATCTGACTTGTAGTGCACTTTGGTGGACTCGAGAAAGCCTATCCAGCAGTTTGATTTTTCTCGGATTTTTCTCAGCCGAGCTGCCCAGAATGGACAGCAAGATACAAAAGGAGGACTGTCTCTGTCTTTTTGTAGATGATCCAGCCAATAAGGGATTTGATTGCCTTGCAATAGCCCCAGCTACTACTATGCCAAGGCATAAATCTGTTGTTGAATCCATAGCGATGAGATGTCATATCTCTGGTATATCGAGGCTTGGCTTCCTCTTTGGGAGGCATAGGGCCACATGAGTGTCCTCTTGCCATTGTCTCGATGACATACGATGAATATAAATGGTATTTTTCCATTTTGAGAATGGCTTTGCTCCACGATCAGAGGGAGAAGTTTTTCTTGCAACGATAGGGGTGTTAAGCTCCAGAAAGATTGTCCGGCATGCCAGCCCACCTTCCACAACACCTTGGTGTTGCACCGATTGACCCCTCTCACGGAGTAGGGACTCAAACGGATTTGACTTTGAGATCTCAGGTTGATTCATCACGAGAGGATGAGGATGCCATTGCCGAGATTCATCGCACCTTGACAGAACGGAGTCATCACGAAGTTGGTCAATATCCCGAGCCCCATTCCTCATTCGACAACTTCTTGGAAGGAGAAATTCGAGCTGGAAAGCAAAAGTCGAGCCTTGGTGTCTGCTTCCAGTCAATAACAACATGGGGAGCTGGCGAAACTCACCCGGCTGTGAAGACACTAGGAATAGCTCTGTGGCGTACACTAACACTGCGAGATGTCTATGAATGGACAATCCAGCCCCTGTTTTCGCCTAGAAAGCCACAAGATGGACGTCCTCTCATTCGAGATTTTTCTGGAGTCGCTCGGACCGGAGAAATCATGCTGTAAGCGTTTACACCCTTGTTGCTTGCATATGTATCAGGAAGATTGAAAGGATAGCCTAACTTCCCCTTAGATTTTTAGGCAGACCGGGAGCTGGGTGTTCAACATTTCTTCGAACAGTCGCTGGCTACCATTCTTCTTTCCTAGGGGTGACCGGGAATATCGATTACTCAGGCATGACTTTGGAGGATGTCAGGAAGTACTACCGGGGCGAGGTGATCTATGTGCCGGAGGACGATGTGCATTTTCCCACTCTCAACGTCCAGCAAACATTGGAATTTGCTCTTCAAAGCAAGACGCCCAAAAGGTATCAAGAGCGAATCCCACGATATCTCGAGATCTACGGCAGGGTTTTCGGTATGTCCCATACCATGAAGACCCTCGTGGGAAATGAGTATATCCGTGGTGTGTCTGGAGGAGAACGAAAACGGATTTCTATCATTGAATCCCTTGCAACCGATTCCTCAGTTATGTGCTGGGATAATTCTACTAGAGGCCTAGATGCTTCGTCGGCGCTGGACTACGTCCGCAGTCTTCGGATTATGACTGACACATGCGGAAAGGCAACCCTACTGACCCTGTACCAAGCTTCTGACGCCATTTTTGATCTGGTTGATAAGGTTCTGCTCATTGACGAAGGGCGAATGCTCTACCAGGGTCCAGCGTATGAAGCGAAAGGGTACTTCGAGAATCTGGGTTACCAATGTGCGGAAGCGCACTCATTCTATGCCGCCCCTGTATTGTCAGGTCAGCCTTCTGACACAGCGCACGCTTCGGCAGTACTGGCGGAGTCCTGAATACCCTTATTCGCGGCTATACGCATCGTTCTTCCACGCGCTGATTAATGGATTGACGTATTTGCAAATAGGAAACAGCTCTACAGACCTGCAATCGAAAGCATTCTCCTGTTTTCTGGTTCTGATGCTGGTGCCAGAATTCATCAATGCAATCTCGATGCGATTCATTTTGAACCGTGATCTCTGGAAAGCCCGGGACCCAGTGGAGTGTATTCCTGGGTTGCATTTTGCACCGTGCAGATAATCTCGGAAATACCATACGCGATAATCAGCGGAGTGGTATTCTACGTGTTGTATTACTTCCTCGTCGGTCTTCCTCTGGGGTTCGCAGCTGCTTATACGTTCTTGATGTTCTTCCTTTTCTTCCTTTTCGCCACGTCCTGGGGTCAGTGGATTGCTGCATTAAGGTAAGTGTCTCGGATCAGTTTACCCTCTGGAAGCGGGAGACAAAAGAGGTACGGGCCGTCTGACAACTATCTAGCGCGGATTCAATGGTGGCTGCTACTCTTATGCCATTTTTCATCATCATGTGCGAGCTGTTCAATGGTATCTTACAGCCACACAAGAACATGCCTGTGTTCTGGAAGTACACGATGTACTATCTCACCCCATTCACCTACTGGATAGGAGGCGTATTGACGTCTGTTCTACGTGGTATGCCCGTGATCTGCAGTCAAGATGAATTGGCTATTTTCGAGAGCCCACTCAACATGACATGCGGCGAGTATGCGATGCCCTGGTTGTCCAGTACCGGCAGCGGTTATCTCTCAAATCCAGATGGTCGTGGCAATTGCGGATACTGCAAGTATAGCCGGGGTGATGATGTGAGTCTTGATTTATTGGAATGTAAGGAAAGGTTGCTGACTTCATCAGTATCTCTCAGAGATTGGTCTAGACGAGTCAAAGATCTGGCCTTATTTGGGTATATTCACGGCATTTGTCATCTCGAATTACCTCATGGTCTACGCACTGGTTTATGTGCGCTCGGTGATGAAGCCCTTGTGCCGTTGAGGGCAGAGGGGATTCACGGTCTTTCTGTCAATTAAATTTATTTGCAATTGACCGTTTCTGCGAGCAGCCCTTGTCAGAATTGACATCTTTCCAGGTTTTGTCATTTCCGACATAGCATTCTATAGCGAAACACAGTATAGTAATGGAACATTGTCTTGAAAGTGATACTGAATCCACTCTCGCTGCCTGTGCATACTACGAGGAGTAAAGGCCAGCTGGACTCCTGTAGCTGGATTGCTTGAATAATCTATTAAATAGGGGTTGACTGGTCGAAGAGGGAACATTTTCGCACTCAGGACAAACAATGTCATACTAACCGCTATGCAATGATCGATTTCCATTCAGCGCCGACAGTGCTGAGCCTGAAAGTCCGAAGACGGATTTTATTACTATAATCGGCATGTCCGAAGTCAACTCCGACTCCCGGGAACTACTGTATTTAGTAACGCCGAGACCCAGCAACGAAAATCGCCGATTTCCTTCGCATGCAGCATTATTACAAGCAATGATCATCAAATCTGGTCAGTCTGAGTCATCTTTATGGATACAGAGTCGATCAGATAAGCCCTGGATGGGTCCTGTCTCCATGACTGTTCGACCATTACCACTTAATTCTAACATCAGCGGCTGTTGAATGGCCCTCCCGAGCTGAGCATCGCTGGGAAAATTCCCACATGGGATCAAGTACTCATTGCCACGCCCTTCAAAGATGGACGACGACCAGGAGTTGCCGTCTCCTATGGAGCACTCAGGATCATCGCCCAAATCCGCAGCACGTCGGCGCAGACCGCCATTATCATGCACCGTGTGCAGACGGCGAAAGCTCAAATGTGATCGAGCATTGCCATGCAGCCAATGCATCAAGTCCAAGACTCCAGACCAGTGTATCTATGTAGGACCTCAGGCTGGCTCTCTATCAAGCGTCCGACGCGCTGGAGATCAAGACACGACTGTCAGTGACCGTGCTCGGGCGTCCACAGATCGCGGTAGTCCAGTTTATAGTGGTGTCTATGTCTTCGACTCCAAGCACCAACCGTTTCCAACCAGGGTTGCGAAGCCTAAAAATCGCTCTGATGAGATGCAGGAGCTGCGCAACCGAGTACTAACATTGGAAAATGCACTGGCAAAGGCCAGCTCGATTCAAACTCCAGAGACCCTTGGGGCCGAACCGTCGATCGTCTCGGAATCGGGACCTCGTACAATGGGAGACGAACACTATCTCAGCGAAGACATCAGGTCTCTCCCATGGGCGTCTTTTCGGGGGAAAAAAACTAACACTACGTACTGTGGTCGCTCGCACTCTGCGTCGTCCCTGTCATTCGTAAGTAGCATCCTGTCGCTTGGTGTACTCCTTCGGGCTAAGTTCTTTGTAGTTCCGGGATGTTGGTGAATTCTTGAGGCAACGCAAATCCAGGCATAAGAAAGATTCCGAGTACGGATCTCTGAGACAATTCAAGAAAGAAATGTGGCTCAAGGAAAGACAAGAACAGCAGCAACGTGCGCGTCGTGAGCAGGCTTCTTCTCTTGTGGACCTGCTTCCTCCTCGCCGAGTTGCTGATGAGCTAGTCCAGTTGTACTTGTCCAATTTCGAAACGACATATCGCATCTTGCATATACCAACGTTTCTCAAGCAGTACGAAGATTACTGGACTGCACCCGAGAATCCTGATATGGTTTTCTTGGCCAAGCTTTTGCTTCTGATGGCCGCTAGCAGTTGCTTTTACAGTCCAACAACAAAGATCAACGGCAAGGATTCACTTTCGAGTACTGCAATACATTGGATTGAAGCTGTCCAGATATGGAGCGTCACGTCATTTGCGACTCGAAACACCAACTTTAACATGTTGCAAGTCCATTGTCTGTCGTTGATTGCGCGCCAAGCGAACGCTTTTGATGGGGATAGCATTTGGGTATCATCTGGCTCGCTGATACGATCAGCCATGACCATGGGCTTACACCGTAACCCATTGCGCTTCCAGAAGCTGTCCAGATTCTGGGCAGAAATGCGCCGTCGTTTGTGGGCTACCATACAGGAGTTAGACCTACAGTCGTCGATGGATGGAGGGATGCCGCCGACGATTGACCTGGAGGAGTACGATTGTGATCCACCATCCAACTACGATGACGCAGATCTGGTCGAAAGCATGACAGAAGATCCGCCTCCCAAAGATCCCGGCATCCTGACTCGGAGCAGCTTTCAGGTTCTGCTTTCGCGTTCATTGCCCGTACGAGTACACATAGCAAAGCTCGTCAACCGCCTGAGATTCACACTCTCGTATGACGAAGCTCTGCGCTTGAGCAAGGAGCTCATGCAATCTCTGCATGATGCTCTGGATTTGTTCCCGAGCGACGGATCTCTGTTGCATATACCCGGCGTTGAGAATCCCGCATTCACCAAGTCGTATTTCATTTTCCTAATACGCAGACATCTGCTAGTCCTCCATCGCCCTTTTTGTCTCAGTATCATGCAGACTCCCAAATTCTCCTACTCACGAAAGATTTGCCTCGACTCAGCGCTGGATATGCTCTCCCTGCTGGAGCCCCCTCTTGGCGACGTTCCCGAAGCACAGCCCCATCCTCATCTTGGACATTTGACCGGCGGAATGTTCCGTGAAGAGCTATTCCATGCGGCGATAATGGTGTGTGTGGAGCTAGTTCTGCAGGCTGATGAGCTTTCGCGGTCAAAGTCCATGCTCCCCGGCCAAAGTAGCGTCTTGAGCTCTCTCAACGAGATGGCAGAATCCAAGCAAGCGGTCATGGTACGTGCCGTTGAAAACACCATCAAAGTCTTTGGCAGTCGCATTGCACCAGGAGGAAGGGGTTGCAAGCCATACCTCTTCCTGACTATCACGCTTGCATCTGTCAAGGCGCGCTTGAAAGGGGAGGATTCCTTCAGGACTATGGATCAAGCTGGTACAAACGCCATCAGAGACTGCCATTTACTGATGAGGGGGGTGCCTTGGGCTGACGTACGTAGGCAAGATGGAAACAGCCCAAAGGATGTGAGTGATTGCAGCTTCATAACAGCGGATATTCGCTAATTCACAACTAGGCCAGTATTTCAACACCCGGGCTCACTGCCGGTACGCCGCTTGACCTGCCCTTTGATCCTATGTCTTTCGTTCCTAGCTCCATGGAGGACATTTCGGTAAGTCTTTGTCTGGCAGATCACTGTATGAACAGAAGCTGACCAGCTAGCCCCTGGACTTTGGAAACCTTTTTGACATGACCGACTATGGAGCTTTGGAAGTTTGGAATAACGATTTCTTCTCAGGGTATTAAGCAACTAGCGTGCATGAGGGAGGCGTTCATGAAATACGGAGTTGCGATCTTCGACGGGCAAATCTCTAACTAGCTTAATGTATAAAGACCTCTCGGTTAGATTCCATGTATAGACGAAACAGAGCCTTCTTCGCCTGTGATCGCGATCAGTCATCTCGGCTGGGGAAGCCACATGTGCGCCGATCGCGAGAATAAAAGTGGGCAATCCTAGGCCCCAGCAGCTTCCTCACACCATCAATTTCTGCATATCTTGCCTCATTTTCCAACCAGGGCTCTTGAGCTATGTCGTAAATTCATCACAAAGAAACCTTCTTCATCAGTATTGATGATTATCATGGTGAACAATGAAATATCGTACAGCTGTACACCATACCGGAGGTTGAATCCCCACCAGTCTAGTTGTTCTTCGACACTCGGCTCCGGCTTCGGCGCATCATTCTTCTCCTGTGCTTCACGCTGGCGACGAACACGCTGTTTGTGCCGTCTACATCTCTTTCTTTCTCTCTCCCTCTGTTGTCGCTTGTGAATCATATATCCCAGCAGAAAGGCGTTTGGTGTATGCATGGCATACGCCATCGCAGCCGCCACCGCGGCGTCAGAGATTGCGACGTCATTCAATGGTATTATCTGCTGTTCTCCGTCTCCGTATCCGTACTAATGTTGAGAATATCAGGATTCAGGAGATGCTGTGGCGGCCTGGAAAACGCGAAACACGAAACAGAGGGACAGGGACGCGTTGTGCTAGTCATAAAATTAGTCATCCTCGTGCAATGCTTGTTTTATGCACATGTGCACCTTCATTGGTGGAAGTTTTCCGCTCAATCCAAATACCCTAGCGGAGGAATTATCGCGCAGAACACGGGTGCTCGATCCTTGAAGCAATTAGCTTGTTTTGAATGAGTGTCCCCGCATAATGCGGAGAAGTATCAAACGTCTTCGCTCTGATCGTCGTCATGGACGCATTCTACAGGCGGAGAAACTCCATTCTCGCGTCCGACGGGGAGTCCCTCCAGCTCATAATCCGGGGATAGCCAAGCACTGGGGAAAATTGGCAGAGGCCCAATGCGCTTGGCAACTTTGTGGAAGTCCCTGCTATAAGATGGACAGCATGGGCATCGGAGTGCGACTGCCAGCTCAATTGGCCTGTCTCTAGTTGTATTTATACGTATCTTGTACCGAGACACCTAGCTCACCATGAAGTTTCTCGCTCTTGCAGCGCTCTTTGCGAGCACCGTCAGCTCGATTGCAGTAGATGGCCTCATCCCTGGCGCAAGAGTCATCCCTGCTAATGACGCGGTGACCTTGAAGAAGGTTGGGGCTCACCATCACAAGCACCCCAACCGTCGCACAGTGACCATCCGTCCCTCTCGCAATGATACGGACGATATCTCGGCCGACTTCCTTTGGGGTATCAAGAGGGCCAACCGTGGTGGAAAGCTGTTGCTGCAGAAGGGGAAGACCTATATCATCGGCAAAAAGCTCGATCTGACCTTCTTGAATGATATCGAGGTTCAATTGGACGGAGAACTCAAGGTATTTTAGCCCGAGGTCCCACACGCAGCCCTAGCTTGTGCTAATACCATAGAAAGTTCACCGATGACGTGCCCTACTGGCAAGCAAACAATTTCTATTATGACTTCCAGAAATCCATCACCTTCTGGCGTTGGGGTGGTCAGGACATCAAGATCTTCGGATCCGGTGTCCTGAACGGCAACGGACAGCGCTGGTACAACGAGTTTGCTGGAGCAGAGATTCTGGTAAGAAAGCCTAAAAGCTTGTCAATCCTTCTGCACAGAGTTGTACTGACGGGTCTAGGATCCCAACAACAAGTACTATCGGCCCATCCTCTTCTTGACTGAGAACGCCACCCGAGTCTCGGTCGAAGGCATTACGCAGCTCAACTCTCCCTGCTGGACCAACTTTTTCGTTCGCACCAAGGACGTCTCGTTCGACAACGTTTTTATTCATGCCTATTCGACTAATGCATCGGTGAGTTTCCTTTTACCTGTGGAAGCGGAGGAAAAATTAACTGTAGTCAAATAGGCGCTCCCCAAGAACACCGACGGCTTCGACACGCTTAACGTCGACGGACTGACCGTCACCAACACTCGGGTCGATATTGGTGACGATTGCTTCTCACCCAAGCCCAACACTACCAACATCTTCGTACAGAATTTATGGTGCAATGGCACTCACGGAGTCTCGATGGGGAGTATCGGCCAGTACCCTGGAGTCATGGATATCATCGAGAATGCTTGGATTGAGAATGTGACCCTGCTGAACGGTCAAGTAAGGAATGATCCCCCCTTTTTTGGGGGTCAATGTCTAATTCTATTAGAATGGTGCTCGTCTCAAGGCATGGGCTGGTCCCAACGTTGGCTATGGCCGGATCAACAACGTCACTTACAAGAACATCCACATCGAGAACACTGACAATCCTATCGTCCTGGATCAGTGCTACTTCAACATTAACGCTACGGAGTGTGCCGCCTACCCTTCCAGCGTGAATTTCACAAACATTGTCTTTGAAAATATCTATGGAACCTCCTCTGGGAAAGAGGGCAAGGTCGTGGCTGATCTGACCTGCTCGCCTAATGCGGTGTGTTCTGGGATCCATCTTGAGAACATTGACCTCACCAGTCCTGCGGGTAGCCCGCCAGTAATCATCTGTGATGGAATTCAGGGGGACATTGGAGTTGAATGCCAGTCGTCGACTAATTCGACGACGACTAAGCGCTCGGTTGGTTTGGCCAGAAACTTGAAATACAAGGCATGAGTGCTTGCAGATGTAAGTAGTGCATAGAAAAAACTGAGTTCAGTTCATGCTGTTCGACTCTCCACCAAGAATGTGATGATTAGCGTATCGCGACATGGATAATGGCCGGAATGTTACCCCAGGTACTTTGCAGCAGTAGGAAGTGCTTCTCCAGTGCGAGGAATACTGAAACTCGAAAAAGGAAGGTCAGGTGAATCTGAGAGCAGAGACCGTCATGCCCTGTCGAACCATATCTTGTCGCCTCGTAATTCCGGCTCCAAGTCCAACCCAACTCTTTCCACTTGTGCCCGAGAATCGATAGAGAACTCAACCTGAAAGAACGTCACGCCATCTCCTCCTCCGCCCGGGGAGTATAACTTTCCAACGAAGAAATCCCCACTGGCATGCTCCAACTCCAGACGGGTGACGATCGCTCGATCAGGAAGATCCGCGTATAGCTTTCGATCCTCGTCAAGAAGCAATTCAAATGAGCCGTAGCCTGGATGCGCGTAGACCCCAGCATATAGCTCCAGCGACAAAGAGGGCGGAAGAGGTTGCGACGGCAAGCTGGGGTATAGTCTCCGCTTGGCCTCTTTCATCGTCTTGATGCTTCGTTTTCGTCTTTCCCTCACAAGCTGCTCGATCTGTCTACTGTACTCTCCCGCCTGGTCAGGCGGGATCCCCAACATCATGTCTAAAAGATACATGTACAGCGATGCGGCGGCAAATCGCGCATCCATGGCATTGCCCATCATGATGAACCCGAACTCTTTCCCGGGAATGAAACCCACCAGGATCCCGCATCCTGGCCACGAACCGGTGTGCCAGTACAGTGGTTCGCCGCGGTAGCTCTCGACGAACCAACCCAGCGCGTATAGGTGATACGGTGCGGGCGGATGCACCCCTTCCTCAAAGGCCGGGAGGGTTATCCGAGGGAACAGGAGCGCATCTCTTGTCGTCATCTTGGATTGAATCAATGCGCGGACCCAGAGTGCGTAATCTTCCACCGAGCTGACCATGGCTCCGCAGCCGGTCGTGGGAGCATAGTCCATATAAGGCTCCGGTATCTGGGTGTGGGCATCTGCATCCCATGTGTATCCCCGAACCAACCTCGAGCTCGCCGAGGGACATGCTTGGGCCTCGTGGACGGAGAAGTACGTATCACGCATACCTAGAGGTTTCCAGATGCGGTCCTTCAGCAAGGATCCGAGGTCTCGACCCGTGTACTGCTCTATGGCATGCGATACAGCCAGATACATATGATTGCAGTAGCTGAAGGTCGTTCGTGGGGGAAACGCCATGGGGAGATGACGTATCTTGCGCACGGCTTCGCGTAACGTTTTCGTCCTTGTGTGCCCACCGCATGGCACCCCAATTCATTCCAAGGCCTGATCGGTGCGACAAGGCATCTTCTAGGGTAGTCTGCAGAGTAGCTTGCTCATCCGCCAGGACAAAATCATCCCGAATTAATGACGTCAGGGGCGTATCCCAGTCGACTGGTCGGTCCGAGCTTTTGCTATCCTCGATGATGAGAGAGGCAACCGCGGCTGTGAAAGCCTTTGTGGTGCTGCAGGTGGAAAAGAGCGAATTTGTGGTCACGGGCTTGTCAGGGAATTCAGAAATTCCATAGGCCTGCATATATCACTAAAAGCTCAAACAGCATGGATGATATACCGACCTTGGTGAAGATGGAGGAGCCATGCACAATGGCCACGGTCAATCCAGGAACCTCCCATTTGCGGAGTTCAGACCGCACGCGCTCATCAAATCTCGCAGTGAAGGGTGACTCTCGAATGACCATTCTGCCCTAAGTAGATTTGACGGATTCAATGAGAAATGTTGCGGTGGCTTCATTACACTTTTGGGAAGTGAGAAGCAAAGGTGGGATGGGAGAAGGAGGGGATTTGCTCATTTCCCTGTCGTGTTACTGACCCCTGTCCCCCTTGATGACAGATAGTAGATAGATCATTTCGGAACAAATAATATTCTGCTTGAGTAGCCAGAAAAAGTAAAATCATGCGAAGAAGAACGTGAGAATCTCAATTCCATCTTGAGGTGCATGCTTATCTTGAAGGCGTGAATGTGATTTCGTCCAATAATGAAATATTGAACAAAAATACATCAAAGGAGTGGAGATCAGAGATACCGAACCATCATTCAAGCATTCAGAGATCTAAGGACAATAATCTTACTGATGCATGGATCATCGAATCAGATTTCAGCCAGTTTTGCATCTCCAGAGTGCGTGAGGACCTTGGGCCCAACCAGGTACCTTGGGAGTTCTCTGGTCAAATAGACTTATGCTATTGCTTCAACCACGCAGCCAGTAATAGCTCTTTGATTAGTGGTGAAGGCGTAAAGAGCCCCATACAGATGAACCTTGGGGGTTAATTGCAAGTATGTCGCTTGCTGATGATATAAAACTGTGGCCTTCCCACTACGTTGTGTGTGCGTCGTCAAATTTTTATCCCAGATTCTGGTTCAAGGGACAGTATTGACTTTCAACAAGATGGTCATTAACTCAGGAACCGACTCTGTGTCTTATCCCGCTCCTGTTCAGCGCGAAGCTGAGGAGAAGCCGACGAGGCAAATCCCAGTGACACTCCTTTCAGGATTCCTTGTAAGAATCTTCCACAAGATCGCCATGACATCCAGCTAAGAGCAGATCAGGGTAGCGGTAAAACAACGCTTCTTGAGCATATCCTTCAGTCTCCAGACCATGGGCTGCGTATTGCCGTTGTGGTCAATGATATGAGCAAGTATGGGTGCCTCGCTATTGGGAAACATTGATGCTTACTAGCAACACAGGCTCAACATTGATGCTGCTTTGATCACGCATCATAAAGTTTCCCAGACAAAAGAAAAGCTCATCCAGCTCCAGAATGGATGTATCTGCTGCACACTGCGGGGGGACTTGCTGTCAGAACTTGCTCATCTCGCGCGCCAAAAAGAAGTGCAGTACGTTGTCATTGAGAGCACGGGCATTAGTGAGCCGATGCAAGTAGCGGAAACGTTCACAGCCGAGTTCAGCAGCGCAATGTTGCAAGCGGATCAGGAGATGTTGGTGGATGAGGACAGTCGCAAGGTTCTGACAGAGATGTAAGCTGAGCCACTTTTCCAATCCTCGTCCTCTGGCCTTTTTCGGATCCTGACAGCAGCAGCGTCAATCTAGGAGGCCTTCACACACTCGCGAGACTCGACACCACAGTGACTGTTGTCGATGCATTCAACCTTCTTTCCAACTTTGACACCGCCGAGTTCCTGTCAGATCGATACGGATCCAAGGAGATTATTCCAGAGGATGAGCGTACCATCTCCGACCTCATGGTGGACCAGATTGAGTTCGCAGATGTCCTCATCATCAACAAGATTGAGACAGTGGACGAGGCTACCCGAACAAGGATCAGGAGGTTGTTGAAGACGCTCAACCCCGACGCGAAAGTACTGGAAACGAGCTACTCCCGTGTCGATGTAAAAGAAATTCTGGACACGGGGAGGTTCGATTTCATCAAAGCGGCTTCGGGGGCCGGTTGGTTGCGCAGTCTCCATGAAATGACAGTCCAGATGACTGGCAATGGGCAGAGAATGGCTCCAAAGCCGGAGACGCTAGAGTTTGTCCCCCATGCCCTTCAACCAACGTGAAAGAGAGTTATACTGATTTGAACAGATATGGGATCAACAACTTTGTGTATACCGCTCGTCGTCCCTTTCATCCTCGTCGACTCTTCTCCCTTCTTCATGACAAGTTTATTCTGCTACAAAACAACGAAGTCGAGGAAGAGGATGAGAAAGATGAAACAGACGAAGGAGAAGGAGAAGAAGAAGAAGAAGAAGAGCAAGAAGAAGAAGACAATATGGAAGTAGACGAAGACGATAGTGATGACGAAAGTATCTCAGACTTTGACCAACCAGACCCGTCAGCGATCCTGCAGAACAAGCGCAACCATCCCGCGTTCAGCTCCGTTCTTCGCTCCAAAGGGTTCTTCTGGCTGGCTACACGGCCCTTTCAATTCGGAGAATGGAGCCAAGCGGGTGGCATGCTGACGCTTGGGTGCGGTGGGCCATGGTTCACAGAAGTGCCAGATGAGGCGTGGCCCGAGGATCCAGATGTCCGAAAATCCATTGAGAATGATTTTCAAGAGCCATGGGGAGACCGAAGACAAGAAATCGTCTTCATCGGCGAGGGAATCAATACTGAATTGATATCAAGATTGCTGGACGAATGTCTCTTGGATGACAATGATATGAGCCAGTGGGCAAAGATCATGAAGAAGAAGAAATTGTCTTACCGGGAAAAAGAAGAGAGGATGGGAAAGCTGTGGGAAGATGGATGGGAAGCATGGCCTGAGTTTGGCATAGTGGATGAAGATGAGGACAACAACGAGGGGGGGACGAAGAAGCACAAACACCACACCAGCGAGTATTTGGGGCATGTCCACAGCCACAAATAACCGCAGTAACAACACTTGTCATTATAGACCAACACTAGGCAAAAGTATCATTAAATTCATGTCACATTACACAAAGATCATCCAAAAATCACCATTCATCCACCCGGCTCATTGCCAAATGCATTCCCTCCACTGGCTTTGTCGTCACAGCGCCGGCAATATGGATTTCTTGCTTAGGATCCTGCATCTCAAACTTGAACCGTCCGACAACACCAGCGACCGCACAGCGCAATTCGGCTCTAGCAAAATCCTTTCCGATGCAGGACCGCTGGCCATGCAAGAAAGTGATTTGAGCAAAGTTTGTCGAAGCACCACCATTGTGGTTGACGACCGTCTGGCCGTTCTTGTCAGTATCGATCCAGCGTTCTGGCACGAACTCTTCCCCATTATCCCCCCAGAATTCAGGACTGCGGTTGATGGCGTACGGACAGATGATGATGCGAGTACCCTTGGGAACGTGCTTGCCCGCTACGGTGGTATCGCGGACGGCTTCGCGGAGCGTGATGGGGACGGTGGGATATAGACGCAGGACTTCCTGGCAAACACCGTTGAGTAGAGGCATTGATTCGAGATCGCTCCAGGCGATAGGATGGTCACCAGACGGAATCCGCTCACGAACCTCCGCGCGCAGACGCTCTTGAACGCCGGGGTTGAGGGTGAGAAGGTAGCAGGCCCAGGTGAGTGCGCTGGCGGTCGTCTCATGCTGTTGCATATTAGCTGAAGCCTCTTCGAAGTACGTTCAGAAAGCAAGACGCAACATACACCAGCCGCCAGAAAGGTCAGCATTTGATCCACCAGTTCGTCGTCCGTAAAATCCCCACCCACCATCATGGTTCCCAGGATGTCTGCCTCCATCTCCTTGGCCGTGATATTGCTGGAAGCGATAATCTTCTTCTTCTCACGAACAATGTCCTTACATAGATCACGCAGAAAGCCGGTTTCGGTGTCAATCACCTTGTTCAGGCGCCAGGGTAGTCTTCGTGCAAACCATTGCGGAAGAATAAAGTTGATGGCGAGGAAGGCCATCTTCTCCTTGGTTGGTTCCAGAATAGCAAGGAAGCTATCGGCAACCTTGTTTTCTGGGTTGTGCAGAGAGCGAAAGTCTCTACCCATGGCCGCCGGACCGATGATATCGAGAGTGAGACGACTGGATGAGCTTTAGCGAATACGATAGATTCAAGGTGGAGAGGATGAGCTTACCTCGCCCAGACGCTCATTTCGACCTTGCCCACACCGTCCTCCGGACTTGTTCCTTCCATTGGATTGTGCCGAATCTCCTTCTCCAGTTCATGGAGGAAGAGGCCAGTCTTCTCCCACATCAAGGAATACAATGAGCGAATGTTCTTGATGTTGAAGGCAGGAGTCAAGGCCTTGCGCTGCTTCTTATGCGCGGCGCCCTCAGACAAGATCAAGCCGAAGCCAATGATCCGAGCAAGGAACTCGCGTGCGCGCCATGGTTTCTCGAAGTCGTACGTGTTGGTGCTCATGATATCCAAAAGAGCCTGGTGATTGGTAGGCAATAGGTGGCTGCGGTTGAGCACATCTCGGAAATGAATCAGGCCTTCGTTGGGGATTGTTTTCATCCATTGCAAGGGGAGACGACCACGCGGGTTGTCAAAGATGATTTTACCGTTTACAAAGCTCCCCTACTCAATCTTCATTAGAGATTGTGACATGCGCGGTCTTGGGACACATACCTTGACGGTTGGCAGATGACGATTTGCGGTGATGAAGAAAGGGTAGATGATCAGATTCCAGAATATTTTCAGGGCCAAATTAACACCCAACACCCCTAGGCAGACTGATTGGAAAGAATGCTCGTTCAAGATGGAGCGCTGCAGGAAATACCCCTCAGCCAGGGAGACAGAGGCAACAGCCAGCAACGTGTCGGCCATGTTGCTAACGCTCTTAGAGAATCAGTCCGAAGCAGAACGGTCAAAGTCAAGAAGTTGACGAACACACGGACTGCCGAAGGTAAGGACTAAAATTAGGCTAATTGGGGGTTGGCGTAGAAGAGATCCTCTATCATCTGCTTTTACTGCATCCGTAAGTTTATATGCAAGCGATCAGCCTAGATGAGCTAACATTAACAATGACCCCACGGGGATCGGCAGAGTCGAAGCGGCTATGCGGCCTCGGTTTGGGCGTTCATATGAGGTTTCGATACATTTTGCATGAGATGATACCTTTGCACAGACCAGAATATATCGGCCTGGAGCCTGACTGTCAGTCAATCCGTGTCGAAAGGTTCGAACTTGCCAGAACGTTGAGAATTAGAAGATCATCTTTGCACCCATGTGAATCCCAACGAGAGTCTCCTATTTCTGAGATTGGATAGCTTTGCGGGCTCGCTTAGCTATTGATAGGCTAGAGTTGGCGCATATTCATGGTTCAAGCCACGGAACCCCACGTTTAGCCCGGGGATTTGGTGAACTAGATTGCTCCAGAGATCGACAACCGCCGACGAAGAGCATCGCAACGATTTCCTATTCGGGACAAGCAGAGGAAATGTTGCATCATCGGCCTCACAACATCCTCCTTACCTCCTCAAGAGGATGTTCCAGGGGCATTATCTTGTGGATATCCTCGCGGAATAATTAGATCTGCATCAATCTACGCATGTGCCTCGGTACGATGCAGGGGCAACTTGTATATTATCTTTGACATGATCCCCAAAGGACTCTGCAAGCATGCCGCATGTACATCGCTTCTTAGGGCATCCGGTTTAATTCTTGTTTCTCGGAATAGCTTCATCAAGTAGCTCCTCGCAACATGTCGTTAGAAAGCGCTCTTAACATCGCACGGCAATACGCCCAGTCGACCCTCGCGCAGCTACCTGAACCCGCGCAGAATGCCCTCCTGAATCCTCTTGTGCAAAAGGCACTCACAGCTGTGCTGGTCTACGGTGCTCTGCGGCAGACTAACCGCGTATTGTCGGGATGGTCGATCAACAACTGGCAGAGCGCGTATCCATGGCAGGGCGATCGCGAGCTCGTTCTGGTTTCCGGGGGGTGCAGCGGCATCGGCAAGCAGATCATGGAAGATTTGGCTGATAAGGGCGTTCGGGTTGTCGTTTTGGACATCAACGAGCCCAACTTCCAACTGCGTAAGAGACATCACTTCCCTCGGCAGTACCATAGACTAACAATACAAAAAGCCGGCAATGTACACTTCTTCAAAGCCGACATCACCAACTCGGAGAGCATCAGAGCCGTCGCTGAGCAGATTCGCCAGAAACTGGGCGAGCCCACTGTGCTGGTCAACAACGCAGGCGTGGGCCACGACGGCACCATTCTCGAGGAGCCCGAGGCCAAGATCCGGCAGACTTTCGAGGTCAACACCATCTCGCATTTCCTGATGGTGCGGGAGTTTCTGCCCAGCATGATCCGCAAGAACCACGGCCATGTGATTACGATTGCCAGTATGGCCAGTTTTGTCGCATTGGGGGAGATGGTAGATTACTGCTGCTCGAAGGCCAGTGCGCTGGCCTTCCACGAGGGATTGACGCAAGAGTTGCGGTATTGGTATCAAGCAAAGAAAGTTCGCACCAGGTATGGCGTCTACATCCGATTTGACACGGCTTTGGTACTGACTGAATTCAAGTGTCATTCACCCACTGTGGGTTCGTACTCCTATGATTCAGCAGTTGACGGAAGCGGGAAATCAATTCAAGCAGCCCGTTATGACGCCGCAGGTGGTTTCGGCGGCAGTGGTCAGGCAGATCCTCACGCAGAGCAGTGGGCAAGTGATTCTCCCGTCTTCTCATTCCGCTGCCAGTATGCTACGAGCATTCCCTGCGTGGTTCCAAGAGAGCGTTCGCGGGATTGCCTCGGGGTCATTGAGGAGACTTCGGGAGTTGCAAGCTGCTGAGAAGTTGTAATTTCTATCATGTATATAGATTATCCTTCCTATCCTACGAGTGATTGAATGTTTATATGACTATGTTAATGACAATAACCGGTGTATATGAATCTATCTGGCTTAAATCACTGTAAAAACCCACGTATTCAGTCTTCAGTTAGCCAAGAAGAAAAGAGATCAATATCGAGCACCAAAATATTGACATATAAACATATCCAGCCTCTGCGTATATACATCACAACAACCGTTTCGTCAACCACCCCTTGACTCTCATCCCCTGCTCCGTCTCGGTCGTATCACCCAGTTCCAGATTGTAAATGGGAGCAACATGACCCTCTCGATGCCCAATAAACAGTTCCGACGAGGGGAAGCCAGCCTGTCCCCATCAGCAGCTCCTCACCCAGCAAAGGATCCAAGAAGCACATACCTTGAACTTATCCGCAAAGTCCTGTATAATCGGCAACAGAATCTCATTCCCGCCAGCGCAAATCAACACCCCATCCACAGGAAACGTAGAGTACCACTCAGCCTCCGCATTCGACAAATCCGTATAAAAGTCCCTCTTCGCGGCGCCCAGGTACGCCCCCGCCCACGGGCCCGCAACCGCCGGCGTGATCAAATCCCCGCTGGAGTCGATCCTGCGCTCGGAGAAGTCCGTCTCCAGCAGCGTCCACGGGGCGATCATCACCGCGCCCGCGAGGTTCTCGTTCAGTGACACGGGCTCGATCTGCGGGTGCGGATGGGCCAGATGCGACAGCACGCCGCCGACGAGGTTGCCGCCTGCCGAGTCGCCGCCGAGGAAGATGCGGCTGGGCTGGTGCGGGGTGGTGGTGAGGATGTAACGGAGGCACTCGACTGCCTGGCGGAGCTGCGTGGGATACGTCGCCTGCGGGGCGAGGGTGTAGGTGAGGCTGAAGACGGCGAGGGACTTGTTGCATTGCGCGGCGTGGTCGACCAGGTTGGCGAAGAATTTGAAGTAGCCCAGGTTGGCGGGGAGGGCGAAGCCTCCTCCTGTTTCTTTGTCAATTGTGATCACATATAAAGTGATGAGAGTGGTGCTGACCGTGGTACCAGATCAGGACGTTGTCTGCTTTGGCGTCTCCAATCCAGTGGCCGAAGGAGCCTTTTCCCAGGTCGATGGTGTGAGATAATCGCTTGGTTTTCTTGATATATGTCTCGTAGATCTTGTTGGTGGGTGGGAGTACATATCTTCAGTACCATCAGCATTTATTTGTCTTGTAAAGAAAATTGTGAGTAACGTACTGCATCTGCGCGATGGACAAGCGGGTTGTCGCCTTACGGAACACCGCATAGCCTATATGAAGGAACAGAGTCTTGGGCTGGTTGGACTCTCGCCGGAATCCGGTCAGAATGGCCCATACAGCAGTAATCCAGATGGATACTAAAGCAGGGAAGAAATCGAGTTTCTCCCGCAGGGTCAACTTGATCGCTTTGTTGAACGGCATGGATTCCGTTGATCGAGAGTGGTATGCAGGGCGTGCTGGAGTAAAAGGTTGACGCCTACGTGGGCATGTACAGTACAACGGTTCATATCGCAAAATTATCAGTATGGGGATGCTGGAGACATAGATGTTATTGTAGAGGAAGAATCGCGTCGAGGATCGCAAGGATTGCCTGATTGGGAAATATTGATGCTTATCCATTGATCAGCCGAGGTGGCCTCGGTTGACTTGACGCAGGCATTTTGACACGGGAGCATGATCAGAATACGATTAGATTTGATCTAGACAGTTTAAGACTTTACCTTTATCATGTCCGTCTCGTGTCTAGGTACGATACATCTGATATATCGTGTACTGAAGGGTCAAGATCTGTGGGACATTGTAAATGACCAATCACATTCGAATATTTGACTAATTGATACATAACTTAGATATCCTTGCTTTGTCAAGTTGCACAAACTGATAATCTTCTGCATCAAGCAAACCATTGCCCTCTAATAATACCATACCCCTATCTACTCTCTCCTTCTACAGTTGTTCTCAATTTCCCGAGTCTCCCTTGATGAACCCTTTGATGATCGACTGGACTAAAATCTAAGTCCCAGACTCCCAGAGACCCAAGCTTACTCAACATCCATGATTCAACACATTTAGTGGCACTGGCGCAGCACTATTAAGTCCTCATTCGCGACGATTTCCCTTTTGGGCAAACGATCACTGGCCTCTCCACATGGCGTCACCGAGGAGCATGTGAACTATTGATTATCCATAAATTCATGTTGAGATATGACTTATATAAATCCAAGAGCTCACTGGGTTGCACTGGATCATACACCTCGCTTCCAAATTCATGCCAGAATGGATTACGATATTATCATTGTTGGCGCCGGTATCTCGGGCATCAACGCGGCCTACCGCATCCAGAGCCAACTCCCCAACCATCGGTATGCCATTTTAGAAGCCCGCAACGCCATTGGCGGAACGTGGGATCTCTTCAAATATCCTGGCATTCGATCCGACTCGGATCTGTTTACTTTTGGGTTCTCCTGGAACCCCTGGAATCAGGACAACCCGATCGCCGAGGGCGCCTCCATCTCCAAATATATGCGGGATACAGCTGCGCAATACGGCATCGACAAGCACATCCATTTCCAGCATCGCTTGTTAGCGGCCGACTGGTCGTCCGCCGACAATGTGTGGAAGCTGGCCGTCGACCATGAGGGCGCGCCCAAGTCCTACACTGCGCGCTTCGTCATCTTCGGTACAGGATACTACAACTACCATGAGCCCCTGACCGCTGATGTTCCCGGTCTCAATCAATTCCAGGGCCAGGTCATCCATCCGCAGTTCTGGCCGGAGGATCTCGACTACACCGACAAGAAAGTGGTGATCATCGGCAGTGGTGCGACGGCAGTAACGCTCCTCCCCAAGATGGCCGAGAAAGCGGCCAAAGTCACCATGCTTCAGCGCAGTCCAACATACATCCTCGCCTTACCCAATCGCCAGAGCTCGCTGTTGAGCTGGATCCTCCCGAACACGATCAACCGCAAACTACAACGCCTCCGATGGATCATCACTTCCCGATTCTTCTTCCTCTTCTGCCAGACCTTCCCCTGGATGGCGCGTCTTCTCCTCAAGCTGAGTGTCGTGCGGCAGCTCCCCAAGAATATCCCCCACGATCCGCACTTCAAACCGCGTTACAACCCCTGGGATCAGCGTCTGTGCGTCTGCCCGGATGGCGACTTCTTCAGGAGTCTCCACACCGGCCATGCGGATGTCAAGACGGACACCATCCGGCAAGTCACAGCCACTGGCATCGAGCTGAACTCGGGCGACTTCCTAGATGCGGACATCATCGTGACGGCGACGGGTCTCAAGCTGCAGATGGCAGGGGGGACCTCGATCACGGTGGATGGCGAAAAACAGCGGGTGCCCGACAAGTACCTCTGGAACGGGGTGATGCTGCAGGACCTGCCCAACGCATCCTTTGTGATCGGATACACCAACGCGTCCTGGACCCTGGGGGCCGACGCGACGGCGCTCTTTGTCTGCCGCTTGCTGAAGTGGATGGAGCGACACCACAAGGTCGCCGCGATCCCACGCCTGAACCCGGGGCTGGCCCGGCAGATGCAGCCACGGCGGCTGCTCAATCTGAACTCGACGTATGTGACGGCGGCGGAGAAGGATCTGCCCAAAGCGGCCGATCGGGGTCCCTGGCAGCCACGCGACAATTACCTGTCAGATCTGATGTTTGCCAAGTACGGGCGGCTCGATCAGGGGCTGGAATGGATCGATGGACCATGGAAGAAGCAGCAATGATGATGACCGATACCAGTGTCTATGACAATATATTTCTTTATTTGCGTTTGAGTAAGATTCAATGACGGAGTTGGGTGGTAGATGAATAGATCGATCACCTATCTTGATTCCATCTCCGGCAATGGAGAGGCATTGCTTGGATTCTGCATGATGTCACGACTCTAGGCGATATAAATCCAATCAATTCATTTAACGAGTCTGCTATTTGCATCAACAAGAATAAAAGAAGAGAAAAGAAAAGAAAGAAAGAAAGAAAATGCCCGATCAGAAGAAATACACCGACCCGCAACTCCGCGAAGAAATCAAGGAGGAAATCAAACAAAGCGACAAGGCAATGGTCCGCTCGCAAGGTACATGAACCGAGGGGACCTTCCCTTGAACCTGACCAGTCTAATGAGACAGGCCCAATTCCTCGCGTCCGAATACAAAACCCGCGGCGGGGACTACACCACGCCCAAGGAAACCGGGCAGGACGAGTCTCAAAAGTCGCTGGAGGAATGGCAGACAGACCAAGGAAGGGTCGGGGACGGCGCGACAGGACGACGGGACGCGGAAGCGGTATCTGCCCAAGAAGGCGTGGGAGGGGCTAGATGAGGAGGAGAAGAAGGTGAAGGGGTCGAAGGAGGGGAAGCAGTTTGTGGGGAATACGGCTGGGGCGAAGAGGAGGAGGGAGGAGGTTGGCAGGGGGGATGATGGTGAAAGGGAAGAGGAAGAGGAAGATGAGGAGTATGAGGATGAAGAAGAGAATGGTGACAATGGAGTATGAGGAGGATGATGATGATGATGATGAAGAAGCAAAAGAGTGATAAGAAGGAGTAGGGGGATGATAACCTGGTTACAGTGATGTTCTGGTCATAAAACAGATCAATTGAATCAATTCCGAGTGGAGTAGTAACAATATGATAATATCCAAGATACTCCGGATATCGGACATTTCAGAGTCGAAACTCGTCAGTCCAATCAAACAAGCGGCATTTCCATCGGCAAACCCTTGACTATCCGCATGGCTGAATTCTGTCCATGTCTACTGTCCACTAGGTACTGTCTAAAAAAAAGAAAAGAACCAGTCAAAGCCGATGAAAGGTCCGGTCATCGGGAGATTCCGCACCAAAGACTCGGCGGGACAGTGGGACTATCGGTATAGCATCGGGTATACTGTGCGTCATAGAAGCATGAGTACATAAGGAGACTATTATACTGTGCAATTGTAGAATAAAGAAAACATGCCAATCTGGAACTAATCGACTATCCGGCATAGACTGCTTGTATCAACCCTTCTATACTGTCCACCGAGATACGGAGTACTATCAAGATGGCTCCCTCCATCAATGACTTCCCTCACTCTAGCCCCTCGCCACAATCCTCCGTCTGCAAGATTGGCATCAATGGCTTCGGCCGTATCGGTCTGTTGACATCCCCGCCAACCTCAGTAGGAGTACTGACCCATCAGGCCGAAACGTCCTCCGCGCAGCCCTGACCAGAACCGACCTCCAAATCGTCGCCATCAACCACACCTGCACCTCCGTCCAGGACCTCATCTACCTCATCCGCTACGACTCCTCCATGGGCAACCTCCCCGACTCCATCCCCATCCACGCCCTCTCCGACACCCTCCTTACCATCGACGGCCACCAAATCGCCCTCACCTCCGAACGCGACCTCCAAAAGCTCAACTGGGCCGCCCTGGGCGCAGACTACGTCGTCGAATGCACGGGCAAGTTCACCAAGCGCGCCCAGGCCCTCGAGCACATCACCCACGCCCACGCCAAACGGGTCATCATCTCGGCCCCGAGCGCCGACTCCCCGACCTACGTGTACGGCGTCAACTCGGACGCCTACACGCCGGACGAGGCGCGCCGCGTGATCTCCTGCGCCAGCTGCACGACCAACTGCGTGACCCCGGTGCTGAAGGTGCTGCAGCAGCACTTCGGGATCGCGCAGGGGTTCCTGACGACGGTGCATGCGGCGACGAGGTCGCAGCAGGTGTTGGACGGGTATAGTAAGAAGAATCGGCGATTGGGTACGTCATTTCTTCTGTGAAAGAATCATCAAAAAAAAAGCACCAAAGAACTTAATGTCCGCAGGCCGCAGTGTCTTCGACAATATCATCCCCACCACCACCGGCGCCGCCAAAGCCATTGCGACGGTGCTGCCCGAGTTGACCGGAAAGGTCACCGGCGTGTCTATCCGGGTCCCAACGTAAGTTTTCTTTCCTGTCGCGCGTGACATGACATTACCGGTGCGGGCCTGACGGGAACAGCCCCAACGTCTCCATGATCGACTTGACCGTCAGCACGGAAAAGCCCACCTCGCTGGCCGAGATCCTGGCCGTCTTCCGCCGCGCCGCGAAGTCGGAGCTCGCGGGGGTGCTGTCTGTGACGGACGAGGAGCTCGTCAGCAGTGATTATCTTGGGAACGCGCATAGCGCCGTTGTCGATGCGCCGGCGTGTTCGGAGTTGAATCCTCAGGTGAGTTGGTCTGCGGCGGGGATTGCGCGATGCTGACCATGGGCAGTTTTTCAAGATCATGGCGTGGTACGATAATGAATGGGGATACTCGAATCGGCTGCTGGATTTGACGAAGCATGTCGCTTTGCGGGAGCTGGATGCATGATGCATAGATGTAGATGTGATAGATAATCATAGATGCCATACCCTTATGATAGACGACAGTTCTTAGCTTAGTTGAGAATCATTGAATCTTGTTTGATCTCGGGAAAGTTGTATGCACGGCGGTACTGGAGACCGGAGTCTTCTTACAAATAAAAGGAAGAAGTGATGAACAATGTCGATTTGATTAGCATACGTACTACCTACAAAGTCCAGAGACGTATCCCACTAACGTAGCAATAGCATCCCCGTCATCAGACAATTACATCCGCTGCGCCGACTCCTCATCGAGCTTGGGATTGGGATTGCCCCCATCATAACGGCTCGCAGGCAAGTTATTCAGCTCATCCTCCTGCTTATCCAGCTTGTAATTCGTCAACCAGAAGCCCGCGCCGCCGACAAACGCCAGAATCGCCACAATAGCATAGTTCCACACCAGCAGCGGGTCCTTGGACAAGCTCACCAGCGCCTGGCCCAGCGCCGACGAGAACGCATTCATGAACAGCGCGACCGCCTGCACCAGCGAGCGCATGTTCTTCGGCGCCTTGGTGAAGGCGTACTCGAGCGAGGTGACGGACGCGAAAATCTCGGAGATGCCGCCGAGCACGTAGGTGATGGCCTGCACCCAGACCGAGATGTCGGTGTGCCTGTTGTACTCGTCCAGGCAGAAGTTGGCGTCCTTGCCGCAGGGGCCGAGCTTGTAGATGTAGTGCTGGGTGACGGTGGCGCAGATCATGCCGCTGCCGGCCATGAAGAAGCCCGCGGTGATGCGCTTCAGCGGGGTGAACTTGATGCCGATGCGGCGGAGGCCCGGGAAGATGAACTGGTCCATGATGGGGATGAAGATGATGAGGGAGAGGGGGTTGAGGTTGTTGATGATGTCGTTGGGGACGCCGCCCAGACGCATGGTTGCGGCTTGCGAGGTGAGGTTGTTGATCATTTGGTTGTAGGCGAGCCCTGACCATGTCAGTTTGAGACGGGAGAATAAGGGAGAACAGGGACTTACAGTACAGAGGGTACCACAGGAAGACCTTGCAGGCCTTGAGACCACGGCTGACTTCGTCCACCCATTCGTCGTCAAAGGTCATCCACTGGGGACGGTCGGGACCAAGAGCAGACGGCTTGACCGAGTCCCAAAAGGGCTTCTCGTTCTTCTTGAAGCTGTGAAAGTGTCAGTAGGAGCCGAGAAATGTAGGGGGAGAGGTCATACATTCTGGCAGGATTGAGAGACCACCGCCCCTTCATCGCCAGTCTCCACAGACGGATGGCCTGGGTATAGACCGAGCCCGTCGGCTTGACGAGGTAATACTTGTTGCGGCAGAAGAACAGGACGAGCGGGCAGCCCAGGTACATGACGGTGGGCAGGAAGAACGACAGCCAGAATCCGACGTATTTCTCCGCATACACCATGCTGACCTGGCCCAGGATCGAACCAATGTTGATCATCAGGTAGAAGTAGAGGTAGATACGGGAGATGGTGGCCGCGGGATCGACAATAACGCGCTCCCCGTTCTTGAGAGTCTTGATGTACGGGACTTCTTCCCGGTATTGCTCGGCAATCAAGGGAGAAATGTTGGACCTAATCAATCAGTACATTGATTTGCAAAACCGAAAGGAGGACATACTTGAAACCACCGGTACCCACGCCCATGATGAGCAGACCGATGGAGAAGCAGGCAATGGCACCGTTGGGGTGAGCAATAACCGGAGGCAAGGCCGAGATGATCAAGACGACATGGCCCAGGAGAGCGGCGCCAATGGAGAACATGATGGTCCGGAATCGTCCCCAGTACTGGTCAGCCATGAAGGCACCGAACAGGGGCATCACGTATGACCAGAACGCGTTGACTGCACGATCAGCAACTTTCTTCGAGTGCAGCTTGACCTTGGACAGACTCACACAATGTCAGACCAGTTGACGCCTGCTGACCCATCCCCAGCGCACCGGGATTCGAGTGGTCATATCCCGCCCCAGTGGTCGAACCCTCGGGAAGAGGACGCTGGATGAAGTTGACGACTAGGCTGATTAGCTCCAGTATTTCAAGAAGGATTGGAAGGCAACATACAAACTGCAGTCGTGCCATAGTAGGAGAATCGCTCGCACAACTCGACAATTGCCACGGTGTACGCAGTCCAGGGAATGTCACCCGCTACTCGACGGAGATTGTTGAACTCGTCGTCGGAGGGGAATTGCCTCTGGAGATGGGCATGATCGTCATCATAAACCGCAGACGAAACTCCCACTTCTTTCGACACGGGAGGCACCTCTTCAATGCTAGGCGAGAGAGCCAACTTGTGATCCGCCTTCTCATTTATCTCGGCATCATGAGCAGCAGCCCTAGCTCTGGCGACTTCCGCCACCTCCACGGGGTCCGAGACGTTCATGGCAACAGAGGTGATGAAAAGACAGATACAGTGGAATTGTCCTATAGACACTGGACTGTAGAGAAGAAAAGAGTCGGGAAAGAAAGAACATGTGGACCAGGGAAAGGGTCCAGCTTTAATAAGTGAGGGACAAGAAAGAAAAAAAAGAGCAACCATGCAATCCAGACAGGTTATCGCGTGTCACGTCAAATGAGCCAATAATCGCTCGGCAGTTATGGGTACAATTAATCTATTTTATCGAGAGTCTGTCTCCAAGCTAGCATAATTTGCTGCTCGACCGAGGTCGCGGGGGATTATCTGAATTCGTCGACAGTATCAGACCGAGTCCCAGTCGAGGAGACAAGAACCGTTGGTAGCCGGCGGACCAAGACTCTCGGCTGAGTTCGACAGGGTCAAGAACATGATACTTTCTACGAGCAGTGTATGGTCAAGAACATCAACCTTAAAGCCACTGGATTGGAATCCTTGCGCAGCGCTTGGGAGCGGGTGATGCCGACAAGGGACACGGGCTGGACTGGATTGGGGAGGAGGGGAAAGATAAGTGGAAAGGAAGCCATAGATAGATAGATACAGGGTATTCCCATGTGTTCGACAGTTCCATTGAAGCTCTGGAAGACCGGAGCAATGAAGGCGAATTACTTGGCGGCTTGATTAGAGAGTCTTGGAAGCGTCTGACCGTCAACAACAGCCACACATATTGGACCAAGCGAGTACAAGGGCGGACGCTTGGCTGGGGCTTGGCTGGTAGGCTGGAGTGCAACCTCAGTGCTTGGCTGCGAAGAAAACAGGCCAATGAGCTGCTTGGAAAGTTATCAGGGATATCTCAGATCTTAGAGCGTGCCAATGAGCATGAATCACGACATTGGATGATAGTGATAGTATCTCCTGACTATAGGGGACGTGCATGGTCCCAGTTTACCCCGGACGAACGAGGGGATAAACTCTATGAGAGAGCAAACCTTGACTAATAGATACGAGCTGGTTTCACTCTATTCAAATGTATCAGTCTGTTTGATCTATCGACCTGCCAGATTCAGCGATAGAGCTGTTTAGCTGGCTCCGGGGATTGTGGTAATTGTGGTTGACTTGGTCAACAGGGAGTGTTGAGGTCAAGTGACTGGAGAGACTCAATAGATGGGAGCAAAAGGACGGAGATTTCTGGTTTCAATCGGTTAGCAAAGGGTTTTGATCATTTCGATTACCAGCTGTGAATGAAGTCTATGTTTCAAAGGGAATAGAATAGAGCCAAGTGAGATGGTTGTCGAGTCGGCCACAGTCGAGATAGATAACACTGCTCTGTGCGACTGGCCTTGTCTTACAATGTCTGGCCATTGGATTATTTCTCATGGAGCACAGATGCAGATACAGAGCCAGACCATGTGAATCCTGCTCACTTCTTCTACTGTCTCTCTGGGTTATTCCACTAATCATGGGATTACACTCCGTACCCTCATTTGACTGCACTTATCTCGAAACCATATCCCACAGAGGATATTTTCAGATGCAAGATCAATAGCAACCCTCAATTGATAACTACCACTACTCCCTCCTCTCCAGAATTACCATTGTGGACCGATCTCGTATCAAGGATAGCTTGGCCATGCTTAACATGGTGGACCTCTCGTACAGGCCAATCCACATTGCAGCAATATCAATTCATGTATTTATCAGAGCAGACTCCACAACATACATCAGGCAGCAATTTCATCTGCACATTCAATCAAATGGATGTTCCTGTTGACTCAAGTGGTGAGCCCTGTCGAAACACCAAAACGCTCAAAAAACTTCTGTCTGTCAGTCCGCAACTTTCTGACTGACTCGACTGCAGCCGTCTAGCCACCTTGTCTTCTCTCTGCATCAGCGCCTACTGATTTTGGCCGCTGCGCACACCCAGGTCCAGGGCGAAGCGCATCCCTCAATGCGCAGACAGGGACAACACCATCTGCTTCGTATCCTTTGGACACTCCTCGACTGTGTGCGCTTCCGCCAGAAGGACCCCTTCTCATTGATATCATCAACAGATCCGGATCTTCTTGGTGATCAGTTCAATGCGCCGCTTCTTTTAAAGCTGAAAACTTCAAAAAAGAAAAGCCCCATGACGAGTGAAGTTTGACTGTGCCTTCTTGGGACAATTAGTGGTGAAGAATCAATAGATTCTCGAGGTCTGAGCAATTAGCAAAAGACATGGAAGTGAGGAAAGCCAGACAGAGAGAGATTATGGGCAGGGGATAAATACACATCGTCAACAATGTCTCGCTGAAGGCACAACATGATTGTTATTCTTATTCGGATCCATGGATGTAGTAGGATGGTCTGATGTTCGCCTACGTAGATATGCCCCCCATACCTCGTTTTCCGCAGAACATTCTTTTCCCTCCCAGTTTGAACTCAATGCCATGTATAGCCTTACATCTCTTAAGACTCTCCAAGATCTCGCCGTAGTGTAGACATGGATTCCTCCCGTTTGTGAGAATGCTTCTACTTCTGCTAGTGCTGTAGCTCTCAACACTTCTCTTTCCTTCATAATCTAGAATTATCAAGATTATGTTAGCATCTATGATTTTTGAAAGACTTAGACACTGGGCATCAGCTTGACATGTCTGGCACAAGATGTCACTCAGTAATGCCAGTAATATATATCCCAGTCAATCATAGGGACATTTCCACGCAACCAAAAATGATTTACTATGCCAAACATTCAGCAAGCAACATAAGAAAAGATAAACCAGATTGAGCAAAGAAAAACTGCTATGCTTGCTCTTTGTACCCCTTAACTTTAGATGCCTCAGGTTGACAAGCTGAGGTCGAGTGCTTTCATTGGCTGCAATCGAGCGGACTGCTGACTCATTATCGGATATAACATTACCCGATTCACGTTCACACATAAACAAAGCGCCAATTCCCGCTGATTATTATTAGCAAGTGAAGAGTCCCTCTTCGAGAGGATCGGATAGACCACATTCTGTTGACTGGCAGGTAATTAACCACATTATTTGATGAAAACGCAGCCATTGTGAGATCAGAGCATGTATCTTCTGTCATGTCCGTTAAGTCAATATGGCACCAAGCAGCCGTGCCAGCCTGGGCCCGTGAATTTGATCCTCAGGCTGGCATCATCACCTTGTCCAGGTCGACCGGTTGTCGCAATGGGCTTGTATAAGGAGAATTCTAAGACATGTCTAGAATATCCGATCCCTGGGCCACCAATCGGTCGCTGGTCGTATCGGCTTACTCCTGGCGACGTTGGCTCCAGGAGCGCATTTTGACCGCCCCTAAGTATTTCAACGCTTCGAAACATAACAGGTATCATGTCGGTCATTGCTCGAGCGAATTACGAATTGGAAAAAATGAAGTACTCACGTGGAATAGCCCGTTGATCGGGTTAGGCTCTGCGTTTGACCAACTTCCTCTGTTGCCGACTTAAAAAATCAGTTAGGCGTTGCAAATCCCGGGGATCACAGTGGAATCTCTCAGAACAATGTATGGGACCCTGAGCTCGTGCACAGCTAAGAGTATCATCCACGTTGCCAGTTGTGTCAAGTCAAAAGCAAGGGTGTTGTGGCCTACCGATCCCATCATTCAAAACCACATCGCCTATGCGTTGCGCTGTTCCGACGTATGGGATGGTTCACTACCCTTCAGCAAGGTAGTCCGCCTTTTTTTCGCTTTATTGACCTGCGGTTGTCTTCAGCAAGGTTGAATTGCAAATAATTCCGTTTTCTCAAGGAATGTCCTCGCTCATACCAGACGTCATGCCTCGTATCTGGTGTCACGCCAGCAGACGACCAAGGCGAACAGGTTCGGCTTTGATAAAGTTGCTCGTACTTTAAGTCATCTGCGCGTCCGTCGAAATCGCAAGATGCCGTATGAGAACCCAGATCGTCTGCCGCTGAAGATGCGTGTACGTCAAGTCCGAGTCGCGCGTTAACAGATAATCTATGGCGATGGATTCGCAGCGTGGGTCCCTTCGCAATCGCTAAAGTCACAGCTTGATAGATGCGCCCAAATGGTTCTTCGAGTTCAAAGTATTGAGCCCTGTTGCCCTTCGGAACTGATCGATGGCCCATACCGTCCCAAGTTCTAACCTGCTCCTGTGCGTTTCGACAGAATGATCAGTATGTCTTGACTTGCAGCAGAAAGCAACCGAGGTATCATCTTGTGGGCAACGCTGGGAACGATGTTACGTCGGTAAACGGCCAGTGGCTTTCAAGCAGACACATGAGCTCTCGTGATTCTCCGTAATGCGGTTCGCAGAGAGCTGGATTAGCAAAGGACGCAGGGGACGTTTCCTCTCTATAGTCAGACATTTGAACATCCAGGGTGACTCGGAAGAAGACGGATGCTGCTGAGCCAGGATACCAAAAGCACTCGGACAAGCTGGGTCAGACAGATCCATGACGGATACCATGCTTGGACTCGATCATGGATGCGACGCGATGCTGACCTAAAGGACGACAATATGCGCTAATGCTCATAATTCCGCCATCTGATTAGTCTCAGGAGAATGACTTCCTGTCTTTTGATACGAGCAGCCATTCTACGGCTTCTTCGGCGCCGTCATTGTAAGTCTCTGATGCCTTCGTGGCAGGAGACCATGTTCTCCCTCTGTTCTCGGTGGCTGTTGTAATGCCTCTTTGCTTTTTCAGGGTGATGAAAATGCATGGGTATCGCCTACCGCTTTCTTCCTGCTCGCTTTCAGTTGTTACACCATCGTTGCACATGCTTTTTTCTAGCACTGTCACATTGGCCCGATCGAGTCTCTGACAGCGCCGCAATGACCTCTTGCGACGACATCATCCTGCAGCTTGTCCTCGAATCTAAGAAAACAAGCGAGGAGTTTCTGGCGCCTAAGACTTCGCACAATTTTGAGTTTCCTCGGCTGTGTTGCCTGAATATCACTACCTATCTCGGTCAAGGCAACGCACTGAAGTAGGTTGTAGCTGGCCGGGCTGGTAGCCCCTCTGAACTGGATTCTTCTTACGCTTACGCATATTGCCGAA